GGGGGGGGGGGGGGTAGATTAGCTTGTTGGCGTAAGTTTATATGAGAATATCCAGTTTGATAATGATATTATGTAAATTATGTTGAATTTTTAATACCGTATCAAATGGTATTCATTTTCTTATCCCTTTTTCTGTATCTTTACTTTAAAATGTGCCAGGTTCTTGACCTTTCAGTTGTGAAGCCTCATGAGTTTGTTCAATATGGATTAAGTTGCCTGGAGAAGTTTGCTGCTCTTGGTGACAGCTGTGCAAAAGTGACTCGTGAAAGGATAAGAATCGTGGTATGGATATGCTGTTGATGTCATTTGGAGTTTTCAAATGTTCAATAGTAGATTCCAAGTGCATTTTTCTGGCATTTTAGATTTGTTATCGGGAAACTATTGTGAAAAGAATATAGTTTAATTGAGGAGCTATTTAATTAAATCTGGTTTGGCAGGCAGCAGGAGGTGATGGCACTGTTGGATGGATTCTTGGCTGCCTTGGAGAGCTTAAGAAACAGGGTCGAGAGCCAGTTCCACCAACAGGAATTATCCCACTTGGCACAGGAAATGACTTGTCCAGGAGTTTTGGTTGGGTAAGCTTCTACGTGCATCAGTTTTCCAGCTCTTGTTCTTGTTCTGTCTAGCTTTTCCGAATTTCCTTAAAATCTTCTTTTCAGGGTGGGTCATTTCCTTTTAACTGGAAGTCAGCCACAAAAAGTATTCTTGACAGAGTTGCAACAGGTCCAATTAACCATCTGGATAGGTGACGTCTTTTGCATAGTTCTTGATAGCATTTTTTCAAGTTTCATGATAATGATACTGCTTTTACTTACAAGATATTCAATTAAATTGCTGAAGATTGTTGAAGTTCTATGACGTCATTATGATTTTTCTTTCTGAAATATCTGTTAAAATTCATCTAAATTTGAAATTTGCGACCAAGTTTTTTTGAACTGCTACTATTTCCTTTTATTTGCTCCTTGGTGCACAAGAATGGCTTCCTTTTCTTTGTTTTAACTTTTATTACTTGTCAATGTTTCCTTTTCTCCATTTCCTTGTGCAAGTAAAATTCTGCAACAAAATACCAGTTAAAGGATGTCAATATGCTCCTAATGAACTCAAGCTTTTTGCAAACTTAAAGATGAATTTCTGGCACTGGCAGGAAATATTAGTTTTAGGAAGGATATATTTCATTTCTTCTTTCTTCTTCGATTTCTATCTCAATTATTTGTGGCTTGTTTTACTCTGAGCTGCTTAATGAAATAACAACATTCATTTGCAGTTGGAATCTTGTAATATCAATGCCCGCTGGGGAAAAACTGGAAACACCTCATTCTCTGAAACCTACTGAGGATGCCTCTCTTGATCAGGTCACTCTACATTCATTTTACAAATTGTTTAGCTGTATATGGACATGGCTTATTACTTTTTCTTTCTAATTACCTTCGTATTAGATCTCAACTGGAATAAGTATTGTTCCACTGTTTTGTGGTTGACTACATGTATCTGTTTCCTGCATTCAGCTCATGGAGGGTCTTAGTTGTTTGCTGCTACTCTAATATTTTTCTTCATTATTTCCTCTTTATCTTCAATTAAGTGTACTTGGCAAATAGTCATTCAGTCAACAAATTGCTTTAATGAATTTTATTTAATATTATGTTTTTCCTTTTTCCTTAATATGGCAGATAATAAGCATACCTAACGTTTCTTTTCTGTTTTACCGATTTTGCTGTGGTTTTGTTGTGCAGGAATTGGATATTGATGGTGAGTTGCCCAAGAAATTGTCCAACTATCAAGGAGTATACTACAACTACTTTAGCATAGGTATGATGTTAAATAGGTCATTGAAGTAATTTACCGTCAAGACTCATCTAAGTTAACTGATAGCTTAAATTGAAAGAGAGCATGATACCTGATTAATTGTGTACTATCTTGGAAAAGCCATGTATATACTTTACATCATTATCATTTATGTGAACTTTTGAGATCTTAACATATAAAGCTAGTCCATAATGTTTCATAGCTACCTGCTTATTTATGTCTTCTTTCCATCTTTATCAATTAGTGCTGTTTAAACTGACTTTAATGCCCTTGGTGATGCTTCTACAACCTTTACAAATATATACACAAAATGATTTTGCTATAGGCCCCAAAATCTAGTCTCTTTTTTAGGCTGATTTACCTAGACAGTACTTTGATTTATTCTTCTTCTCAGTATTTCATTTTCTAGAATCTGTTAGGGTATTTTATTCGGACTTTTCTACTACACTTACTTTTACCTGCAGGTGAGCAATTTATATTTATGTATAGATACTGGTTTTGTTTGCTAAAGAGTGAAAACCTTGCCGGAATGCATGCTATGTTAGCACTTTTCTTATGTCTGCAATTTGCTTAGATATGTAATTAAAGGGTCTAGATGGTCAGCTGATGCTTCTCTTATAGTCAACTGATGCAATTTGCTTAAATATTGTAGTAATGAAACATATGGCTTTAAGGGATTTCTTAATCTAAGTACAACTTGTCCGGAACTCCAATTTTCTTAATATTTGTTTTTGTTTTGATAAGGTATTTTATTGATGTTAAACCAGCACTAAGCAGTTACTGCATAAAATGTTACAGATGTGCAGTTCAGTGATTCGATGTAGAATAGCATTTACATCATGTACAAGTACCAATCTGCACTAAAAAGATAACAAAAAGATAGACCTGTGTTTAAGCATTTTCCTTGTTGCTTTTAATTCCTATATTCTTTCTCTCACACTGCCCCAAATTGCTGGTGGAACTGAGTTCCATGTTCTTTTGGCCTTCTTAGTAACTACCTCTTTTGTACCAGCATCTTTAATCTGTAAAATCTTCTTATAATTTAAATCAGGAATGAAAGAAACAACTCTTTGTGTCTATGCACCAAACCTTATTCTGCCTTGAGAGAAAAGATATTAATTGACAAACTAATGAGGGCAGAATAACCAACAAAGGGAATCAGAATCATTCACTCAGTTGTCACAATCATTATTCCCTTTATTTGGTTCGCGAGATTTTAAAATAAGTCTGCAATAACTGATATCTATAACTTTCAATGCAGGAATGGATGCACAGGTAGCCTATGGCTTCCATCATTTACGGAACGAAAAGCCATACCTTGCACAAGGTCCCGTATCAAACAAGGTTGGTGCTTTTTATTCCTTGATCATAAATTTTTTGAAATATTTTTGGTTTTTTATTAAGGAATCTCTTGATCTTTCTTTCTTATTTATTTTTTTCCCTTTTGCTTGATTAATTTGAAAAAGTGTCTATGCTTGTCAATGAAGAAATGTGGAGAAAGCAACACCTATCATAAGGAAAGCATTGAAGAAATTTAAATAAAAGATTTGTCAGAACTTATTTTTAGTGAAGCATATTAAGTCCTAGATGCAGACATTTTTATAAACGCTGAAAGCCCGGTGGCTGAAGGGAACCTTGGAGCTACGGTAAAGTTGTCTCCGTATGGCCTATTGGTCACAGAGTCGAGCCGTGGAATCAGTAACTAATGCTTGCATCTGGGTAGGCTGCCTACCTCCCATTCCCTCACACATGTAAATAGATGGAACTATGTGTTGACATAGGAACAGCTGAGCAGTAGGATTTCATTTATATTTACTGTATTCAATTGAAGCAACTTGCACTTAGAGGATCTTCTAGTGTGAAGTGCTGAAAATGGGATAAAGACTAAACTGAGTACTTTCATGCTGTGCCTTTCAAATTGAAGAAATCCACTGTCTGACATTTTGTTGAGCTCTTGAGAAAGTTTTATGTGGATTTTTTTTTCTCAAAATTACATTGCTTTGAGATGTTTTAGAAGAAATTTTTGGGGAAAGATTATGCTGGATGCTTAAATGTAAAATGTAGTTTACCACACATCTTCCTTGAGCTGAAAATTCTCTTTTTGAACATTATGACTGATAAGCATTGGATCTCATATTGGGTCTCTAATTGAAATAGAGCTCTGAAGGTATTTGCAGTCTTCTATATCCATTGATTTTCGAAGCTGGACGCAACATATTTTTCTGTTGTAAAAACAAATATCTGCAATCTTCTAAACTCCACACCAAAAACGATAACAAAAAGAATACACTCGTATTTTAGCCTTAAAATATTCTCAAATCTGCTTTCAAAAAGTCTATTCCTTTCATCCATACCACCCATTGGATACATGCAGGTATGTACTTCCATACTGGTTTGGAACTTTGGTCACATCCTCTTCTGCTCCAGCATTGTAGTAATTCATTTGTGGGGGAGACCCAAAAATATTGATCCTTATATCGCTAAGACCACTACTGGGTGTCCTGTGCTTGGGTTACTTTTAATGGGAAATTCAAACTTTTCGGCTTCCCTTGGAATAGGGAACTGGGGTATTCAAGTAATTTCAAAAACTTCCATAATAGTCATGTTGTATGGTCCTGATGCTTTTCTATCATGAACTTATTTGAGATATCTCATTGCACGGATATGATTGCTAGCTGGTTTATTGTCTTTATTAGTTGATGGATGTTTTACTGCTCCTTGACTGAAAGTGAATTACTATCCTAGGATGTATTATAGCCACTTTTTCTGTTTGTTACTTTGATTTGTCACTTTGAATCTGCATGTATAGTAGTTTTGAGATTCATATAGTTAAATGATATTTTAACTTTACCAAAGTGCAATTATTTAATTTCAAGGGACAGAAGTTCTAGGTATTGACGAAGCATTTGTTCCAGTTGATTTACTCAGGATATAGTTGCACGCAAGGCTGGTTCTTTACACCATGTAGCAGTGACCCTGGTTTGAGGTTAGAATAACTTACTCAACACCCGTTTGATGCCTGATGCCTTTTAATTCATCCCACTCTTGTAGTTGTCACAAGCTTACCAAAAAATGTTTCTTATGTACCTTCTTATGTTAGTTGCATGCATGAACTTACAACTTTTCGCACCTCTCTCTTGTCCAGTATATCATAGATTGGAAGTTCCTATAATAAATTGATTGCTTCTGGAAAAGGAAGAAGGCACTATTTCAATATTCTTTGATATCAAAGGAACATTATCAATCATCTAAAAAATGGAATAAAAAAAAGAATAGGGAAAAGCCAGCTATCGGAATCGAACCGATGACCATCCCATTACAAATGCGATGCTCTAACCTCTGAGCTAAGCGGGCCCACATAACATAAATCTTATATG